GCTTGAATAGTGATAGGGGAAGTAGATCCAAGTGTTAAAACTTTGAACGCAAGACTTCAAATCCGCTCCGTCAAAATAAATTGCAATATCTCCGTTAGTAGTGAACCAATTTAAATGACTTCCTTAAATTTGCGTAAAAAAATAAATTGTGTGCAAAAATAACCCATTTTTCATTATGTAAACAATGATCCCGTTATATAAATCATATACTATCTTAAAAATATTATTTGTTTTCACCCAACTTTTTGGTCAAAATTACATTTTGATTTTATTTTATTTGATCAGACTATTATTTATGATTATATTTATGCTTTTAAATAAAAACAAATTCTAACAGTAAGTTTATTTTAGCTGTTAATAACTTGTGACAGGAATTTTTGTGTTATATCTTTTGAAAATGAATCCGTCAAAAATATTTCCAAGCGAAATGAATCGACTACAGAATGTGTTTTAAGGCGGAAATACACAATTAAATTTGGTTGAACAATATGAATGATGCTTCAATGACAACTTAAAAATAAAAGAAATCATTTGCAAACATATAAAATACATGCTGGTTTTACTGAAACCCCAGTAAATTACAGCGAATATAAAAGATATAAAAATCATTACAATGCTGAGTTGAAAAGAACGAAAAATCTGGCATATTTTCAATTGATATTAACTTCAAAGAATAGATGCAAGACGTGTTGGAAGGTACTTAACTATAAGCGAAATAAAACAAATGGTTTACATAATTCGACAATCAATATATCTTGTGACTCTTTCAATAACGTTTTTGTTGAAATTGCTTTTATCAAAAGCTACTTTTTATATCACAAGTCAAAATGAAATAAACGGTTGAATCGAACACAATCAACAAAACTTGTATAGACGCGTCAATGTGAATGAATCATCCCAGTTGTACAACGAAGTTGAACAAAAGTAGAAATTGGTTCGACTCATTTCAACGTTCAATTTGGTTGAACGCTTTTATTGAATTGCAAAATACATGGTTCATTTTGGTTGAATCATCCACATTGTTCAACCGAATTGAACGGTGTATTTCCTCCTTTAGATAGCAGTGTGCTTTCTACGAACTTTGATACGAATACACTGTTTTATTGTAGTTACTTATGAATTTTATGAAAATACTTAGCAAGTTAGACTTAGAGGTTAAACTCACTAAGTGACATTTTAGCTCAAAGCCATTTTAGTATCATATTGGTAAAAAAACATATTGAGTCATTCCCCTCTGTAAAGTTGCATTATGTAAGGGCCACCAGTCAAAAACTGTATTTATCATTCATCCTTAGACATTCATTTTTAAAATTTTTTCCTTCTTCTTCTTAAAATGCCCTCTCATCAATGGAGGTTGACTACTACAATTTTAAACTCTTCTCTATCTTCAGCTGTTCTTATTAGCTGTTCAAAATTTATCCCTGTCCATTGTCGGATGTTTCTGAACCACGATAGTCTTTTCCTTTCTAGGCCTCTCTTTCCCTCGATTTTTCCTTTTACTATAAGTTGGGCATATTGGTACTTATTATTTTTCAGTATGTTACTATTTTTACTGTGCTAAAAAGTTCTCTTTCCTTGCCTATTTTATGCAGCACTTCTTCGTTTGAGGTATGCGATGTTCATGGAATTTTGAGTATTCTCCGGTAGATCCACATTTCAAAGGCCTCCAATTTATTTACGGTTGATGTTTTAAGGGTCCACGTTTCAACTGCATATAGAAGAGTCGACCAGACGTAGCATTTTGATAAACGTAGTCGAATTTCGAGTTTTATTCGAGAATCACAAAGCAGTTTTTTTATTTTTTCGAAAGATTTTCTGGCCTGTTCTATTCTCGATCTTATTTCTAGATCAGGATTTAGGCTGCTATCGATCCAACATCCTAGGTACTTGAATCTATTGACCTGTTCTAAAATGTGCCCATTTATTGTGCAAGGTTGAGTTACGTTTTGGTTTTTTTAATGTTTATTTTCATACCCAATTGCTCACAGGTCGAGTTGATCTTCGAGTCGTTGTAGACCTAAAAAATGTTTTCTACAATCCTAAAAAGTTTCTTTTGTGATATTTTGTTTTGTTGTGTTCAATTTTACAGAAAATTTATTATATTATTTGGTTTCGAAAATTAGTTTATGGATTTTAATCTCAGATGTCGCTATTTGCGTCCATTTGAAGCCATGGTAGAGTTGCTTTTTAAGACAGAAGATATTTATTTTCACGTTCAGAGCGACTATGAATTGCCGTCCTGAAGAAGCCTATTAGACCGAAATACGAATAAGCGGCTACATAGATGCACTATACGTAAAATAAAATCCTAACTGTGTTTTCCTTTTAAATTTATTACAATTTATAATAATAAACGCAATAATAACTTTTTCATAACTTTCTATGTAGTTACTCTATCCCTAAGTAACAATCAGGAATGTTATAGTTTGAGGTCAAATTCATTAAGTACCGGGTGGTCCAATAAGCCGATCTCTCGGCTATATATCAGAAACTATTCATGTTATAACTTTAGGAAAAAAAATTTCTTAGTAAAAGTGGCCAAGAGAAATCGTTGGAAATAACTTTCAAGTTTCTGGGTTAACCGCTAGAGGGCGTACCCTGTGAAGAAAACTTTGAAAACCAGTTTTTTGGGAAATATGGCCAATTATACCAAGTGTTAAATAAGTAAACTAGAAAGAGACCTAAATTCTACTCAAAGTTGTTTAAGTACTTTTTTTTTTATTTTTTCAAATAAAGGGTGGGGGAGAGTGGTAAAATATTTGTAGATAAATACCTATAACTTTGGTTTGGATCAACAGCTTTTAACAAATTAGTGTGACTATAAAGAGTGTGGATAAATTAATTTACGTCCACTATAAAATTATTTCAGTTAGTTTTAATTGTCATAGGTAGAGGGTATTTTCGAATGGAAAGAATTAAAATTTGTTTTTCATAAAAATGTTTAATAGAAATACCTATTTATTGTAAATTATAATGGAACTGGAATAAATTTGTAATAAAATGGTGCAAACCGCATGTTAATAGCTTTTGTAGAACTCGAGATATGAATAAAAATGCATAAACATAAGTAAGTATAGTATTGACACACCATGTATTATAAATTTAATTAAGAAATAAGTCAGTAGGTACTTTCAAATTTTTTTATAGCAGAAGAATCTTAATGTTGATACCTATTTTGACAATTGTTATTTCATATGATTAAAAATAGTTTTTTCGAAACTAAGTAGGCTACGACAATGAATTTGACGGGGAGTTCATATTTTTTATTTATTGACAGCAGTCAAAACATTGTTAAGAAGTGTTATATTATAATTCGAATTAAAGATTGCACTTTTTTCAATAGATATTAAAATCGGTAATATTAGTAATTAATTATCAGTACTAATAATTCGTAATGAGTATATTAAATTGTATGATTATGATTGGAGTTTATTTCGAATGTCACCAAAATGCTGATATTGCCTCACGTATATATTTTGTAAGATATCTTAATAGCAGACATTATGGCAAAAAAGTATTTGAGAGAAAGGCCAGAAGATTAAGAGAAACTGGTAGTTTTCATCTTCCTTGTTTTAAACGACGTAGTAGAGGTATGACCGAAGATAATTCAATCAATGTTCTTGCTTTAATTCAACATAATCTACATATAAGTAGTCGGCAAAGATCTCTACTTCTTTGCCATAATGTCTCCTGTCAGGATATCTTCAGAATATATACGTGAGGCAATAACGGCATTTTGGTGATATTCGAAATAAACTCAAATCATATCATACAATTTGATATACTCATCACGAAAATTAGTACTGATAATTAATTACTAATATTACCAATATCAATATCTATTGGAAAAAGTGCAATCTTCAATTCGAATTATAATACATATAACTTTTCTTAACAATGTTTTGACTGCTGTCAATAAATAAACAATATGAACTCCCCGACAAATTCATTGTCGTAGCCTACTTAGTTTCGAAAAAACTATTTTTAATCATATGAAATAACAATGGTCAAAATAGATATCAACATTAAGATTTTTCTTCTATAAAAAATTTGAAAGTACCTACTGACTTATTTTTTAATTTAATTTATAATACAGGGTGTGTCAATACTATACTTACTTATGTATACGCGTTTTTATTCATATCTCGAGTTCGACAAAAGATATTAACATGTCGTTTGCGCTATTTTGTTACGAATTTAATCCAGTTTCATTGTAATGTACAATAAATAGGTGTTTCCATTAAACATTAAAAAAAAAACAACTTTTAATTTTTTCTATTCGATAGTACCCTCTACCTACGACAATTAAAACTAAATGCAATTGTTTTATAGTAGATTTAAATTCATTTATCCACACTCTTTCTAATGACACTAATTTTGTTAAAATCGGTTGATCCAAACTAAAGTTATAGGTATTTATCCACAAATACTTTCCCACTCTCCCCCACCCTTTATTTGAAAAAAAATTAAAAAAAGTACTTAAACAACTTTGTGCAGAATGTATGCCTTTTTCTAGTTTACTTATTTAACACTTGGTATAATTGGACATATTTCCCAAAAAATTGGATTTCAAAGTTTTCTTCACAGGTTACGCCCCCTAGCGGTTAACCCAGAAACTTGAAAGTTATTTCCAGCGATTTCTTTTAGCCACTTTTACTAAGAAATAGTTTTTCCTAAAGTTATAACATGAATAGTTTCTGATATATAGCCGAGAGATCGGCTTATTGGACCACCCGCTACATGTAACTTAATAATTTCAAAATTATTGAGTTCTGATCATTTCTTTTAAAATTGGATAGTAAAGTAACACCTAACCTCCATAAATATTAACACTTCTATCTATAATAATCATAAATAAAATTATAAAGCGAAGAACGAACATAATGTTGATTATCTCTGTTGTTATTTTTTTGCAGTTAGTGAGTTTTATCTTTATACGGACGAAACAGTTTTTAGTGATTTATTTTAAATGATTTGTTTAATTTATTTATTCTTTTTAGTTTATAGCTGTACAAAAAAGCCAGTTGATTGCCAAATTTGGACTAATGCATCTGATTGCAACCAACGTGAGTGATTGGTTTCAAGTTGTTGTAGAACAAACGGTGCATGATCTCTCAAATACTGTCATAGCCTTTACTAAAAACAGTAATAAAACTATGAAAGCTCTTCGGATTGAACAATACGAAAGCAGGCTTTTAAATGTAATGAGACTGAAACACACTCAAGAAAAATCGTGTCAAAAATTTGATTTAATTACTCCTATTTTAATGAAGATTGAACCGCATTTAGCTTCATGTGCAGTGGAGTATAACCTTTTGTGTACAATGATTTTATTGTTGATGTGGAAAATAAGTACTTCTCAAAAAAAGAAAGGTAAGTCTGTATGTTATAATTTAAATATTCTTATTTTTTTTTCATTGCAAAACAAAGGTGGTTCGCTGATTCCAGGCCTAACTATCTTGTAAATTTAGTAATTATTGTTTTGCAATGTTGGTAAAATTTGGATCAACTGAAAGTAGCTGTTACAATATTTTATTTTAAGTGAAACACAAAAAGTTCATTAGCAATTAATTGCTAATTTATTTTAATTTAATTTAAAGTTAATTTAAAAAAAGTTTAGTAACAAAATAAAACTAAATTAAATAAAAGAATAGTTGATGAATTCGACCGTTACTTGATGGAAATTCAGTTTATGTAACAATTAAACACTGAAAACTTTGTTTTCAAACTTCCACACAATTTATTTTAAACTCTTATCACTACAGCTGTTTCGGCTAATTGCCTTTCTCAAGTGATCTCTTTTTGGCATGCGTTTACACTTTATAGTATTTAATGAAACATGTTGAGAGGAAAACTGATTTTCTCAAGTTGCTGATTCAGAATTATATCTGTGTTTTTTAGTTGGTTGATTTCCATAGGTTCTAACAAAGATAACTTAAGGCTTTTATTTTGAATGTGAAGAATTTTAACTTCGACATTAAAAGAATGATTATGATCTAGAAGGTGCAGTGCGTATGTAAAATCTGTTTTTCTATTATTGAAAGCCCTTTTATGTTCTGCTATTCGTTTATTAAATTTCTACTAGTTTGACCGATGTAAGTTTTTGAACATTCGCCATATTTAATTTTGTACACACTACTGTGTAAGTGTTTTTTATTCTAGACCGTAAAAGACAAAAACTCTGTATGGCCAACCCTGGTATGTTTGGATGATTAGGATTCGGATGTTTAGGACATACCAAGCAAAATACCTGTACAAACTTCTACAGTATACACAAATTTTAGACTGAGTATACGAATCAACAAAGGCCAGCAAACACAATAAGCTTTAACTTCAGTGAAAACGGAAATCTTTTTTTCGTCAGATAGTTGACGTCTTCATTGTTTTCTTTCTTCTCCTTTTCTTCTTGTAATGTTTATCTATCAGGTGTGGAATCGTTGACTAAAGATCCATCCTTAACTTTACTATTTTCTTCATCTAATGACTCCTGGCCACTTACTTATTTAGTATTTTTTAATAAAAAATTTTAACAGAAAGATTGTCAGTATTTTTTATTAAAATTGGCATTAATTTTTATTAAGTATATTTGTTAATATACTTAATATAGTATATTTGTTAATATGGAAATACTTCAAACAATAACCATAATAATACTACAAGATGTGCTACATTGCAAAGTTACAATGACATGCTTTTAAATAATCCTTTAGCGACTAGCAGTTGTGCCTAGTTAGGTACACATCTTTTTTTATATTTTCTAATCCCCTGTATAACTCATTTTAATTTTCGCTGTAGCGTACTTGGCTCAAATTTTCATTTTCTAAATAAAAAATTAAAAGACAGAAAACTTATACTTAACAAGTACGAAGGAGTGTTAGAGCATACCTCGGATCTTTCGTATTGTTAAGTGAGTTCATAATTAGATTTTTAGCTTCATTTACCAGGATTACTAAACATTTTTATTTTTTTTTGTCTATTCTTGCGTTTTTTCCATTACTGGGAGATGGGTTAACTAAGTGAAGACGCTTATAGTTTTTAATCTTTAAAGATGAAATACGAATCAACAAATGCGCGGTTCATTTTTTTAAGATGTTATTTGGCCTGTGTCAATGGGCATAACGTTAATTAATATTGTTTAAACCAGTATTTTTACGAGAACAAACAAACTAAATTTGAATTTTATCCGAAAAAGGAACTTTTGCAGTGGTGTATCATCCAATCAGGAAGTTCTCGTAGAAAGTTTAATTTATTATGCTAATATTGCACCAATGTTCTTGGTTATAATTTATTTACGCTTTCTAGATTATAAATAGTTCCCATACAGTCCTTAGACTTTAAGGATTTAAGATTTCAAGGACGTCGTTTAATCCCTACACCGTACCATACCTCCATCACAAAAGTACTTTTGTGTATACCCTACATTTATCTTTGAGTATAAAATGTCAAGACTAACTCGTTACTCCAATTTAAATCTACGTTTCTTATGCGATTGCGGTAAAGTCGATGTTTTGAGTTATTGGGATGCACGGTTAAATAAGAGAAGTAACACCTTTTATTAAAACGACCACATCGACGTCATAGACGATATATGGTTCTTGATAACTGATCCTCGGCACACACCTCACTCTGGCTCCATGTGCCATACTACGGGCAACTGCATTGGTCTGCATAGTGAACTTAATATGACAATAGCCAAATATGGCGATAGTAATTGCCAAGATAAGCAATTTCCAACTTATTGATCAACAACTTCGAGCAGGTCAGTTGGTAAGTTGTAGAGCACTATTTTATTGTGGTATTGAAAAATTGTCCCCAAAGGTGGAAGATATGAATAGTAGTTCACAGAGTCAAAATGCAGAAGATCAGGGGAAACCAATACATTAAATGTTTATTAGAACATCCTTAAAAATTCCTCGTGGTAAGCACAAGCCATAGAGTATGTATTATTGATCATAAAGGGAATTTAACACTCAAATAAAGCACTAGGCCTCCTAGGTTATTAGTAGACGAAATCCTCGTGTTGAAAACCATTTACAAAAAGCATTTAGGAAAAGTTCAATACGATTTGTAAAGTGGAACGTTACTACTCTGTATTAGGAAAGCTGCCATAACATGATCCATGACATAATGCGAAAGAAAGTAAACATAATGGGCATAAGCAACGTTCAGTAGCCAGATACAGGTAACCTCAAAACCAAAAACGAAATGATTTATTTCGCTGGAAGTACACATAGAAACAAATAGATCAGTGGTTAGCTTTAACATTTACTCAGATAAAACAACAACGGTTTAATTAAAGGTAAATATACAAAAATTATTGTGCTACGGCAAATTTATCAAAAATTTAAAAAAGCTATTAAATAACTATCGATATAAAAATGAGACTACTAAAAAGTCTAGTTTTTCTAATTTTCTCTTATGCATCGGAGTGCTGAACCTTTATGGAGCAAGATAAAAATATTATAGATGTGTCTAAATACAATGCTGGGGACGAATGCTGAGAAAACCATAAGTTGCGCAATGAAACAAATTAATCTATATTAAATGAGCTAAACATAAAGAAAATACTAAGAACATAAATATCAGAACAAATATCCTGGACACGTGCTTCGAAGAAATAGTATTTAAATTATTTACCCTCCAGGAAAAGGTAAAAGGCAAAAGAAGTCTAGGTAGATCTCCTACACGATACACTCCTACACAATGTGCTAGAACGTGCAATATAGAAAGATGTACAAAAAAAACTGAACGTCTAAAAAAAATGAAAAAATTAGCCAATAGCTTCATAATATCACGATGGTCAGAAAAGAAAAAGTAGACGGATGTGTTGGAATATTTGGTTTTAGGTGAGAGAAATGAATGAGGGGATAGACTTATTGATTTCTGTCAGACCAAAAATTTAATAATTATTATCTAGCAGAAGACTGTACATATGGAGTTTAACTGTAGATAACAAAGACCATAATGTCAGAAACCAGATTTACTATATATTATTGCCAAATCAATATTAAAAGATCAATCAAAGCCATAACGGCATAGCCGGGAGCAGACATTAACTCAGACCATAATCCGCTGATAGCAGTAATGTAAAAAAATAAAAAAAAAATAATAAAGTTACCAACATCTACATAAGACGAAGAAAAAGACAATATTTAAAGATTCCTCTTTAGAATCCGAATCAGTAAGTTTTAAAAAAGATTCTTTCGATGATGATGACATGATAGATATTGCAGCAGACAATCCTAAAGAAGAAGATGCTACTTGTTTCTATTGTGATACTTACTAACTTACTCCGTGGCGTTACAACCCTTTGTGGGTTTTAGCCGACTCGACAACATGCCTCCACTGTTTTCTGTCTTGAGCAACCTCCATCCAATTCTTCACGCCCATAGTGCTTAGGTCTCCTGCTATATTATCTCGCCACCGGAGACGAGGGCGTCCGCGTGGTCTCCTTCCAGTTGGACTTCTCCCACACCAGTCTTACTGTTCGTTCGTCAGAATGTCTTCTGAGTTGTCCTGCCCATTGGAGTCTTCTGGACTTCATTTCTTTTATGATGTTGGCGTCTGGGTAAAGTTCTTCAAGCTCTTTATTAGTTCTTATCCTATATTGTCCTGATGCTTCATCAAGCACCGGACCCAAAGATCTTCCTTAGGATTTTTCTTTCCCAAACACGTAGTCTCTCTTCATTTGCCCTTGTTATCGTCCACGTTTCGCTTTCATACATCACAACGGGTCGTATGATTGTTTTATAGACCTGTATCTTCGTACGTCGTGTTAGTTGTTTTGATTTTATAAGGTTTTGGAGGGCAAAAATACATCTGTTGCCGGCCTGAATCCTGTTGTTTATTTCTTGTGATCGTTATTGTCTTCAGTTATTGTTGTTCCAAGATACTTGAATTCTCTAACACGCTCAAAGTTAAAGTCATCGATGGTAATGTTCTGACCGATTCTGTCTCTGCTTTGGTTATTGCGGCTCATATACATATATTTCGTCTTGTTTTCGTTGATTTGGAGCTCCATCTTCTCTGCTTCCTTCTCAAACTTTACGAAAGTCTCCTTCATCCTTAATCGCGTGTTTCCTATTAGATCTATATCGTCTGCAAATGCCAGTAGCTAAGTTGAAGAGTTGTGGTGAAAGTGCATCTCCCTGTTTTAGTCCATTGTTTATTTCAAATGTCTCCGAGTATTGTTGTCCAACTCTCACCTTACATCGTAACCGTTCCATACACATCCGTATCAACCGGACTAGTTTTTTTGGAAAGCCAAGTTCCTGCATCGCTGTCCACAGTCTGTCCCTACATACTCTATCAAATGCTTGTTTAAAATCTATGAACATCTGATGAAGCTCACGATCAAACTCCCAGCATTTTCTATTGTGATAGACAATTCTGAAAGACAGAAAAGGAGAAAAGTGGATACAGTGCGTTGTCTGCGAAGAATGGTGTCATATAGATTGTTCCGAGTGTGAAACTGATATCTTTAATTGTGAGATTTGCAAAGACAATTAACATGTTTTGTCAAGTGATACAAAGTAGTATCTAAATCCTAATAAGTTAAAATATAAAAATAAAGAATTTCGTAAAATTGATAGTGTTTTATATTAAATCATGTTTTTTTATTTAAATGCATATTACTGTGTTCCATATTAGGTTCACAGCATATTCCAAATTAATTACATATTCCATATTAGGTGCACAATTTACCTTTTTCATATGTCACTTTTTGACAATCGTGGTATGCAGATTTTCCAATTTTTAATTATAACATTAGATATATTAAACATTAAGGTATATTTATGAATAAAGAATCACACATTATTTTAAGAAACACAAAAATTAAAAACCAAATACAAAACACACTGTATTTAGAAAATTAAAAATTTCTTATAAACATAAAACTTGAATTTTATTAAATCAATATAAAAGGTACACGAATTCTCTTTTACGTATATTACATTATATCAAATTAATCAATAAATTCTATATACAAAGCAGTACAAAGAGCTCTCTCAAATAAGGTCATTAACTCAATAACCAAGTGCATTTCGCATAAACCATCAAAAATATTTGTCGTGGCTTTTAACTTCAATTTTGATTTGAGGGTATGCGGCGAACCTAAATTTTGTTTACTGTTGCAATCTAATTTCCAGAAGCTTCTAGAGACCTCTCAACTGAAATATCAAGACAAAGTGGCTCTAACGTAATTTACGGCAGGAGTCAAAGTCAATTTTCAGTCGATTGTGCTCAAACACAGAGAGGATTGTTTAGTGGAATATTGGTACTAGCTGTCACGATCATCAGTCTTATTCTGTTTTTCGAACTCGTACCGTACGATGATAAAAAGGATGTAGCCTTGTTACAGGTGAGTGGTAAATTGCTTTTGTAAGTAAGTAAATAAGTAAATTGAACAAATTATTGAAAGAAGGTTTCAACAAACGACATTTGACATAAAACTTGCTTATTCACAATACACTTATATAAACTACTTTCTTTAACAGATGCTAGGAATTGTAAATACTTTTAGAATAGTTATGTTTATTAATTCACTAGTCAGTGTTTATAACGCGCATTGACTTTGTAATCACGACAGGAAAATATTATCTCTACTAGTTTGAGTTTTGAGTTTATTTCAATTTGCTGATTAAAAAAATATAGTAAGCAATTAGTTTGTTTACAATTTTGTCTTGAAGGAAAATACCCAGTCGTATTCCACTCTTAGTTAGTTTTCTCTAATAGTTTAGGGGCGATGGGGGGTTTCGTGACCCATTGAGATCCATGAGATTTTATAGCCGATTTTTCACTCGCTGAATCTTAATCTTTAATATTATAGTCCGAACTTTTGGGTAGACATTTTTTTTTAACAATTTAATTGTTTAAATGCTAATAACTAATAAATGGATATACCCTTTTTTCAAATCACATTTTGTTTCTTAAAAAAATTAAAGAAACAAACTTTGAAAAATTAAAATTGGTCAATTAGAAGCTGAGATATTGCAAATTTATTATTAAAAAATAACACATTATCGACTACGTCAGATATTTTTGTCTATAACTTTGCTTTTGCTCAACGTAAAAAGATTTAGCGAACCTTATATTTAAAGCTTTCTTAAATTACCTTACTTAAAATATACGAGAATATGCGAAAATTGTAATGGAGAAAGTTGCGAAAATGATCATACTGCTGTATATGAACTAGATGACGCAGAAAAATAATGTGAGAGTGAGATGGATGTTTTGGATGAGTTGTTATGTTATTCTGAGGAAATTGTACAACCTACTAAAAAAGAAAAATAAATATAAACTAAGCATATTTCTGACTTTATAAATATTGAATCTCATTTTAAAACCATATAAATAAATTGCAATTATTTTACTGTTTATATCTTTGTTTTACTAATGTATTCTTTCTATCAAAGTAATTTGCAATTTAAGATATTCGTATATATGATTTTTATTTTAATTTATTAAACCAATTATTTAAGTACTCATGAAATTGTACTAAAAATCTTGTTTGACCAAAAGTTTTTAAAATCAATTTTTTTGAGTTTTTTTTTTTGGAAATTAGATTGTTTTTAAACAGAAATTTAAATCATTTAAACTTTATTTTAACATATTTGTTCACTGATAAAAGATTACACAGCGAGGCACAGTACGTATTTAAAAAAAGATTTATACTGAAATAATAGTAGTCTATATTTTAGAATATTTAGAATTTAGAATTTTTTAAAAATTGAGATATTTCATGGGGACGTTCTCAATAATAATTTGGTAGTAGATTACGTTGAGTGGTATTGTAAAAGTAAAAGAATTGAAAAAAAGAATATTAAAAATTTTTTTAGGGTGATGGGGGTAGTTTTTAATGGTGAAAGTATTCCAGATATTATTATTTCGACGAGCTACCCCAGAATAAACAAGTCATCGAAGTCTGCAAAATTTTTAAAGCGTCTCCAGATTCGTTTCTTAATTGTTATTATTAAAGCCTATGTGATTTTTCAAAAAAAAAATATGCTAAGTCGGCTCCTATTGGTGGTAGAAAACTCTTTTTTTTTTTTTATCTTCGTCAGCTACAATAATTTGCAAATTAGATATTTGTAGGATACATAGGGGGCGCTGCAACTCTAAATGTTTATAACTGCAATTTTAAAACTATTTTTTTGGCAATCCTATGAGCATTCAAAGTTGAAGGTCGTAAGACAAACTAATTAACGTATTTCAGCAAAAAATTAAGCGATCTAGGCCTACTATGACTCATTTAATTCGTAATTTTGTAGGCTTGAATGTAATATATTTAAAATAAAAAATGAAATTTTGCATTCATTCATTAATTTTGAACTTCATTCTTCATTTTTGCAATAACAAATAAATTAAATCGAACATATACCGGCTCAAATTAAAGGTCTTTTAGAGTACTTTTATAATATATACAGAAATTACCCATTACACGACTTACTTTAGACAAAAACTGAAAAAGCAAACTCAAAAAATACGTATTTTGCACCTATAAATGATTATAAATAAAAAATAAGCAAAAAATTTTTGTTATGTGAACTAAGGATTTCTCCTGAGGTTGCCCTTTATAACCTAGCCCTTCTCTATTACTGAAGGTTGGCTATAACCACAGCAAATTGGTCTCTATCTTGAGCTGTTCTTACTATCGAATGTGTGTCCATGCCTGTCCAGTCTCTTACATTCTACAATTAGGAGCATTTTCTTCTTCCTAGACCTCTCCTTTCTTCCAGTTTCCCTTCCATTATAACTCTTCTTCTTCTTTAAGTTCCATCTTCTATCGAAGGTTGGAAATCATCATGGCTATGCGGACTCTGTTGACTGCCGCTCTAAAAAGTTCTGCACTACTGCATTCAAACCATTCCCTTAAGTTCTTAAGCCAGGATATTCTTCGTCTTCCCACATTTCGCTTTCCTGGGATTTTGCCCTGTATAATAAGTTGTAATAATGCGTAATTTTTGCCCTCTCATCACATGTCCGAAGTACTCAAGTTTTCGTCTTTTAATAGTTAATATTATTTCCGCCTCATTTCCTATCCTTCTAGTTACTTCCATGTTTGACATTCTTTGAATCCATGATATTCGTAGGATTCTTCTGTAACACCAAAATTCAAAGGCGGCCAACTTATTCAGATGAACTTGTTTTAGTGTTCAAGCTTCCAGACCATAAAGAAGAGTAGAGAACACGTAACATCGAAGCATTCTAAGGCGTAGTTCTAACCTTATATCCCGACAACAAAGAAACTTTTTAAGTTTAATAAATGATGTACGTGCCATTTCAATACGTGTCTTAATTTCTTTGGTTTGGTCTACATCTGATGTTATCAATGTTCCTAAGTATTTATAGTTATTAACATTCTCAATTGCAGTATTTTCAATAGTCAATTGGATATTGGCATGTGCAGATTTAGTCATGATCATGCATTTAGTTTTCTTTAAATTTATCTTCAGTCCGTACTCATGACAGCGTTCATTAAGGCGTTGCATTAGGTTCTGTAAATCATTGTTGTTATCCGTAATTATTACTGTATCGTCTGCAAAACGTAATTATTCAAAACTTCTCCATTGATAGATATACCTTCTATTGAGTCTGAGAGCGCTTCTTGAAATACCCCTTCACTGTAGACTATGAAAAGTAGTGGGGACAGCACGCAACCCTGGCGGACTCCTCTCTGTATTTTGACATTTTTGGTGTACTGGCTATCAACTCTTACCTTGGCAGTTTGATTCCAATATAAATTAGATATAATTTTCAGATCACGACTGTCAATATTTTTGCTTTTTACTATATCTACAAGCTTTTTATGTTGAACTTTATCAAATGCCTTTTCAAAGTCTACAAGACATAAGTACATATCCTGATTCATGTCCATGCATCTCTGAGCCAGCACATTCAAGCCGAACAAAGCATCTCTTGTACTCATACCATTTCTAAAGCCAAATTGTGTGTCACTAATATCATATTCAAGAGTTTTAACAATTCTGCTGTGAATTATTTTCAAAAATGTTTTAAGTGTGTGACTCATTAAACCTATTGTTCTGTGGTCTGAGCAAGTTGTTGAACTTGGTTTTTTAGGAATTGCTACAAAGGTTGATTGCAGCCATTGTCTGGGGATTGTGGCAGTCTGATATATTAGATTAAAGAGTTCAACCATTACATCAATAACATCTTCATCAATGAGTTTTAATAATTCGATGGGCACCTCATCTGGTCCAGTAGCTTTACACTCTTTTGTGTTTTTGATGGCATAGATGACTTTTTCTCTTAATATTGGTGGTCCAGTATCCTCGGTGATTTCTAATGACATTTCTTCTCTTTCATCATTAAATAGTTGTTGAATGTAATTGGTCCAGTGACATAATCTCTTCTTTATATCAGGAATAATATCCCCTTTATCATTTTTAAGGATATTCGTTTTTGTACGCTTTCTAGAACCTGTCATTTTTTTGATTTTTTTTGTGTAAATTAAAGCTATCGTACTTTTTATCCAGATCTTCTATTTCCTTGCATCTATCGGAGAGCCACCTCTCTTTTGCCTCTCAAATTTTCTTTCTGATGTTTCTCTGAATTTCTTTGTATTTATTCAGGTCTTTTGCTTTATGTTTTCTTCGTTCTTCCATGAATTCAAAAATTTCTACTGTCATCCAAGGTTTTGTTTTTTCGTTAAGTGGTTTGAGGGTTTCTTTTCCAACTGACACAAGGGCATGTCCCAATTTTTCCCCATTTTTGGTCAATAGTTAGAGTTTCTGCATTATCTTCTTTGACTTTCCTTAAGCTTTCGTTTATTTTAAATTTGGTTTCCACATATGTGTTGTCTTGTTTGAGACGTCTTGTATCTATGATTTTCTTGGTGCTAGGGCTGTTGACCTTCTTTAGTTTCACTCTCATCGACAAAACAACCGGGTTGTGGTCGGAGGATATGTCCGCTCCTGGATAAGTTTTAGATGATATTATAGAATTTCTATATCTTCTGTTGACGATAATATAATCTATTTGATTTCTGACTATTTTGTTATTGTCAGCTGGTGACCTCCATGTAGGTATATAGTCTACGTTTAGGAAGTTTGATCAAGGTATTTGTAATTATGAGTTCCTCATTGACACAGAAATCGACAAACCTATCCCACGTTCATTCCTTTCCCGAGTCCATACCCACGCAATTCTCCACTTCTCCTTGGCCAACTTTAGCGTTCAAATCGCCATTATAATATTTATATCTTGTCTTTTAGTTAGTCTTAAGACATTGTCGATTTGTTCATAGAAGGCCTCTATGGTGTCTTCATCCTTGTCTGCAGTGGGTGCATATACTTGGATTATATTTATTTTACGTTTTAAATGATTATATGAGAGTTTAGA